AGAACTACAAATGATTGCTTCAGTACTTTAAGAATAAACAGTTTAGTGAAGAGATTTTTTCCGGCAAATTCATTCATCGAAATTGGGTTTGAGAAAAAGGTTATTTGCCAATAACTCAGAGTAATAAATGATTCTGTATTGCATGAGACCTAACGTTGAAAGGTTCTCTCCAAAAGTTTCAAACTGTGGTGAAACGAGGCTTCCATGGTGCCCAATTTCCAATACTTTCTAGTATTTTAAAACGAATGGATACTTGGTTTGATTTTTAGCGGGAGAGCCATCACTGGGTGAGATACATAATACAAATTGTTAATACGACGAAATTGTTCGATAAAACATGATAAGTATTATTATTATTTTACATTAAATGTAGGAGTATAACAACTAATCTGTTTGAACTCTGTACTGGACAACTGTTTCGTCCTAGTTTGGGACTCTTCATCAGTACACACCCACCACAAGAGGCTCGAATCCAGGACCTTCTGGTTACAAGGCGAGCTCGTATACCATTAAGCCACTGGGACCCCATTCAATGGCCCATGAATTCTTACTTCTGCAAATTCGTGATATGGCGCGTGCACCGTGAAGAGTCCCAAACTAGGACGAAACAGTTCTCCAGTACTCCCAGGTTTTCCAATAGTTCTCATGATGAAATCCTGTAACTAACACTTAAATAAATCTTTTCTCTTGAACAAAGTTACGTCAGGCATCCGCACATGATTAGTTATGATAGGATAAGTGTGCTACTGATGTGGGTTGTGTTAGTACGATTGAATATAGAAGTTCACCCGTAACTCATTCGGTGCTGATATTATGTGATGAAAAAAGGCATTAAGCGTGAAATTGACCAAATTCGTGATCTACTCAGTAGAAACGGATATCCGACTAAATTTTTGAAAAAAAACACATTAACTCAGCAAGTAAAAAGTTGAAGGTGTCTACTCTTCACAAAATTCAGTCTTCCTAAGACTACAATTCACAGGTAGTGTCAATAGAGAGTTCTTATCACAACGTCTGAGAAGGGCCTTCAAAAGGACTTTCAACGCAGCTAAGCTGCGCTGTATATTCACTAGCTAACCAATACTTAGTTCGGGAAATAAAGACAGACTATACAGTTTCACCTCTTCCATGAGTATTTACCAATTTAATTGCCCGTGTGGAACTAGTTACAATAGGCGTACGATCAGGCAAGTTCATCGGCGAATTTCTGAACACCTTCCATCTTAGTTTGGTAAATGTCCGATACTGGACATCATGTAGAACCTAAAAAAGCTTTTAAAGTTATTTATTATATTTCACTTAACCTTTCACATGGTTTAAGAGTACGGATTTTACATACAGAAGAGGCAATCGGAATTCATCTGAACAAGCCAAATCTGTGTGTTCAAAAGAACGATCTTCACCCCCCTCCCCACACTTCTCACCTTGTAACTATTTTTTGACTTTCATACATTTTGGTTCCCTTGATAAATTTTGATAGAGAAAGAAAGACCAGATTTGCAGTATAAAGAATTAAGCTTTGTTGAAAAATGCCTTAAGGAAAACGGGTATCCCAAAGGATTTATTTTAAAGTACAACAAAGAAAGAGATGAGAAAGAGAAATCTCCAACAGTTGAGAAGAAGAAAGTGTTCATTTGCCTCCCATACAAAGGAGAAACAGTATCGCAAAAGATTGAAAAGAGAATGAAGGGAGCAATAAAGAGATGCTCCCCTGCAGCCAATCTACTGACACTATACAGTACTACATGCTCTATAAGGCAATGGAAACTGGATAATTACCCTGCTGATGTTACCGCCAACTGCATTTATAAATTTACGTGTACCTACGGCAGCAAGTACATTGGAAGGACAGAAAGAAGGGCTTCTATCCGGTTTTCAGAGCATATTCCAAGAAACTTATGCTTAAAAGGAAGCAGATATTTACAAAGTGCGATTACCAGACACCTTGTTGGATACGGGTCATTTTGTCAAGATTTCCAAATCCTTCAAAGTATTAAACATACAAAGGACAACGAATCTACTACGATTTACTGCTGAAGCGATTGCATACTGAAAGAGAGTGTGGTCAGTCTCTCACTCCTTTGGTAACCATATCACTTTCATTACACTGATTAGTCATACACACTAGTGAGCTCAACTCACTAAGCAAGTTTTCAATTTGATGAACTTTGACCTTCTTGAGTTGCCATGTTGACCCTGTTTATTAGATTTTTTGTTTTCTGTCTTCTCTCACCCCCCTTTTTTTCTTTTTTCATAGTTTGACAGTATATAAATTGATGGTGACTTAGATTATAATACTTATATTCCAGATGCATTCACCTTATAATGTCTTCTCTATTACCTTTCAAACAATGAAGTGTGAAATGTTATTATTTATAAACATTGTAATTTCAGGTAGTTCGCAGCTGATGAGAACCTGTGAAATAGAATGACGACATCATTTTATACTGCAAATCTGGTCTTTCTTTCTCTATCAAAATATTTTTTGACTGTTAAATTTTACAGTTCTAGGTAATTCTATTAACTTGTTTGTATTTTAAGTACCTCTTCTGAGTCATCCTATTCTTCTTAGCCGTCATTGCTATTATACAAACTTCTTGATTATGTAATAACTTGTTCCTAATCCCTACGATTTAACTTATCTTAAATTCTGTAATAAATAAATTTTCACTCCTCTTTGAAAACTTAGTTAACCTGTTAATAACATCTACGAGTTAATTGTTTTGATGACTTATAACATTTTAATTTCACATCAGAGATACCTTCCCTAAAAATTAGCTTGAACTTGTTTGACCTGATCGTGTTATTACAGATTACCTGCTTACGATATTGTCTACTCAAAGAGGTATAAATAACACAATATTGCTAATCAGTATGTTACACGTTGCCATATAGTATGAACACAGTATTGACTAAGCTGTATCACTTTCACTTGCCTTCATAGTACAGCAGAGAGTGGATAAACTTCAGTCTGGCACTTACAACCAAACCGGCAGATTTGCGTAATCTACCTCTACCGATACAAGCTGGAGCTCCGAAATCCGAAAGGACAGAATAGCGTATGAATCTGTTTTGTATCCCTATAACCATGGGAACATAGCACCTGACGATGCTCCATTGACGCGTGGATCAAAGTTTCAGTCAGACAAAGAAAGGCTTGGAAGGTGATCCCTTAAGACAACTACATGCTTCAGTCTGGGTGTCCGAGCAGTAAGTAACCCAGCCTTCGTAAAAACTATGCGATTTTGTATGGCACATCTTTGGGTGCCCAAAAATAATAATGTCACTTTCAGATAAATCGAACTAAAAGAGGACTGGTTGAGGACTAATCAGCCAGCCTGCTTCCGTGAACATGTGAAGATAAATTACAAGAACTACAAATGATTGCTTCAGTACTTTAAGAATAAACAGTTTAGTGAAGAGATTTTTTCCGGCAAATTCATTCATCGAAATTGGGTTTGAGAAAAAGGTTATTTGCCAATAACTCAGAGTAATAAATGATTCTGTATTGCATGAGACCTAACGTTGAAAGGTTCTCTCCAAAAGTTTCAAACTGTGGTGAAACGAGGCTTCCATGGTGCCCAATTTCCAATACTTTCTAGTATTTTAAAACGAATGGATACTTGGTTTGATTTTTAGCGGGAGAGCCATCACTGGGTGAGATACATAATACAAATTGTTAATACGACGAAATTGTTCGATAAAACATGATAAGTATTATTATTATTTTACATTAAATGTAGGAGTATAACAACTAATCTGTTTGAACTCTGTACTGGACAACTGTTTCGTCCTAGTTTGGGACTCTTCATCAGTACACACCCACCACAAGAGGCTCGAATCCAGGACCTTCTGGTTACAAGGCGAGCTCGTATACCATTAAGCCACTGGGACCCCATTCAATGGCCCATGAATTCTTACTTCTGCAAATTCGTGATATGGCGCGTGCACCGTGAAGAGTCCCGAACCGGGACGAAACAGCTTTCCAGTACTCTCAGGTTTCCCAATGGTTCTCTAACTGATGTCAGCTCACGATGAAACTTTCTAACTAATCAAAAACAATGCCTACAAATCCAATACTTGAAAATTATTCTGCTTAGATTGAACCATGTATTGACCTAGATTTGAAGTTACTCGGAAAAGACTACCCATATCAGGTAGAGCTCATTTCAAATTTAGTGTGTGCCCCAAATTTAGTCGATAGACGAGTCTGAACAGGTTTAAGGAATTCCTCAGTGGTTCACTGGTTTCCTAACTGATGAAATTTACCTTGAAGACTGTTTTGATGCAAAACGGTTAACTGCAAAGGCAGAAGGCGGAAAGCCCGTGTATTTTAGTACAAGTCAAGCCAAATTGGACAACAGAGGAAAAATTTCTTCTGTCAAGTTTATCAAACTAAAAAACAAACCAGTACACAAAATTAAGATATTTCTACTATGAATCACTGTAGATGAGTCAGGAATTAACGAAACAGCCTTGAGTATCAATAGGTAAATATGGCCAGATGTTGGTGTGCGCAGTGTATACAAGTTCACAAATAGGTAGGCAAACGCTTAGCCTTTTTTTCTCGCTTAATAAAACTGTAGTAAGCTCACCGAATTTTACGTCGTACCACCCCCACCCACCCCCGCCAACATTATATGACTGTCTTAGCTTAGATATTAATTATTTGTTGTTGAATGAGTCACGTGAATTAATATAGGGTAGAAAAATTTAGAGTGGACGAAAAACATTAAAGAATAAAATCCAATAGAGACCTATATAATCTAATTGAGTGAGTAAGACAGACATGCAATGCAATTGGTCGATACTAGTGACTATTATTTAACTTTGTACATATAACCATATTTGGATATGAGAAACAAATAGGACTGATTGGTGTTTTGTCATTGAGAAAGGATTGGTTTTTAGGACACAGACCATATAAGGCGATAAGTGGACTTATAAAAGAGTAGGTTATTGAATACAGCCCGCTATTTTACTGTATACATTCAAGAGTCATGGCAGAGGAAGACGTTGCCGCCCTTGTTATCGACAATGGATCTGGTATGTGCAAAGCTGGATTCGCTGGTGATGATGCACCAAGAGCCGTGTTCCCTTCCATCGTTGGAAGACCCAGACATCAAGGAGTGATGGTGGGAATGGGTCAGAAAGACAGCTATGTTGGAGATGAGGCTCAGTCGAAACGTGGTATCTTGACTCTGAAGTATCCTATTGAGCATGGTATTGTGACGAACTGGGATGATATGGAGAAGATCTGGCATCATACATTCTACAATGAATTGAGAGTTGCTCCTGAAGAACATCCAGTCTTGTTGACAGAAGCACCAATGAATCCGAAAGCGAACCGTGAGAAGATGACTCAGATTATGTTTGAAACTTTCAATGCTCCAGCTATGTATGTGGCGATTCAAGCTGTTTTGTCATTGTATGCATCTGGTCGTACAACTGGTATTGTATTGGACTCAGGTGATGGTGTTACACACACCGTGCCTATTTATGAGGGTTATGCACTTCCTCATGCCATCCTTCGTCTGGATCTTGCCGGTAGAGATCTAACCGACTATTTGATGAAGATCTTGACTGAACGAGGCTACAGCTTCACTACAACTGCTGAACGTGAAATAGTTCGTGATATCAAGGAGAAGCTGTGTTATGTTGCTTTGGATTTCGAACAGGAGATGGCGACAGCAGCGTCTAGTTCTACATTGGAGAAGAGCTATGAGCTTCCTGATGGTCAAGTTATTACTATTGGTAATGAACGATTCAGGTGTCCAGAAGCTCTGTTCCAACCTAGTTTCTTGGGTATGGAAGCTTCTGGCATTCATGAGACCACATACAACTCCATCATGAAATGCGATGTGGACATCCGTAAAGATTTGTATTCCAACACCGTGTTGTCTGGTGGTAGTACAATGTACCCTGGTATTGCTGATCGTATGCAGAAGGAGATTGGTTCTCTTGCACCTAGCACAATGAAGATCAAGATTGTTGCACCACCTGAGAGGAAGTACTCAGTTTGGATTGGTGGTTCTATTTTGGCTTCCTTGTCAACATTCCAACAGATGTGGATTTCCAAACAAGAGTATGATGAATCTGGTCCAAGTATAGTTCACCGTAAATGCTTCTAATTTGATTTTCTTATTTTGTACAAATAATAATTATTACTTATAATATTACTTCAATTACATTGATTTCAAAATCTAAACGTCTTTTAGTCTGCTTTGTTTATGTATTTCGTGTAGGTTGCAGGTAATCGCGGATTCTAGCGAGTAAGGTGGACGTCATCGTGATTAGGTAGTCCAAACAATTTCGCTTCGAACCCTGCGTCGTTGAACGTTTAATCTGTTAGTAGCCTGCAATCTCATATAACGCCGGAGCAGTCCCTCTGCATCCTGTGATATGGGAACGGTCATTTATATGAGGACTGGTGAGTAAGTCCAAGCGTGCGATGCCTGGTAAAGTTTTGTCGATGTTGATAACTGTCACTAGGGGAGTTCTCGGCAAGGATGCTGCGTGTCGGTGCTATAGGAGAGTCTGTCTGTGAGAAGGTTGCTAAGGTGGCCCATATTCTCGCTCAGCTGCAGGGATTTTCGTCGAAGCAAATGGTACTGGCGCCTACGGCGATGCAGTCGAAAATATCCCAGAGAACGCACTGGGAAAATCGACAAAGGTTACATGCTGTCCTTTACACCCGCAGAATATGGATGTGCCATCCCCATAGCATATTACTATGCAGACAGTATGCTAGGAAAACTAGGGGTCAACAGGTAACTGTCAGTCAGTTAATTTCTAATCAAACTGGTTTGCGAATGAAGTAGGAAGTCCTAGAAAATAAAGGTAGGAAACGTTGTGGGTATTGATTAGGGGTTTCTTAAAAAGTTCCTGGGCACTTGACAACTGTTACGTTTGGCGAAAGTAGTTGGTAGTGTAGTGATCGGTTGACAGTAGCGTACCAGAAATATGTGTGTGGCAGCTGGACGTTCATCGCTGTAACTGGAGAGGAATAATGACGTGGTTACTAGTTACGTTTCCGAGTGGTCGAATGGTAGCTCAGTGAGGACACTCAAAGTATTAATTTTTTTCTCCCAACGAATTGCGGGCTTCTAGACTTTTCGTGACATACTACTTTGCAATCATCCGCAAAGTAGTATTACATAAGATCAATTTCCAGATAACGTAATGGTGATCTTAGGAACGTGTGTGCGTCAATGTGTTAGTGGTAGGATGTCCTCCAGTCGCTTGTAAAGTCAGGCTGATGTACTCCTAAACATCACCTAACTTGTAGTAAACCTGGGGATGAAGGGAGGTTAGACCTGTGTATCTAGCAACCCCACCCTGTAAAAGCAACATCACTGCTACCGGAACTTTTAAGAATAAGCCTGAGGCCAAACGTTCCACTCACGACGCAAACGAATAAGTAAAAGATGTGTATGGACATCAAAGATGATTCCTTCATGAAGCTTAAGGGATTCCCATTCAATTTACCGAATATCTGGTTTAAATCATAACTTACTACTTAATTAGGTCCCCATTTAATGTTGAAGAGTTTTCAAGATTTTTATTTGCGTTATGAATAGCTATTAAAACTATAACACTGGATTTCAACCCCATGGCACTTCGCAAGATGGCACTCTAAGATTGTAATTAGGCACTGCCACACAAGATTTAACCAATCCGCTGTCCATTGAGAAGTCCTAAATATGGAAGAGATGCACATCCTGTATTCCACTGCCAGTCACCACCCACCAGTTAAATTCGCTGTCCAGGTTTCACTATTTTTTCTAGCCGATGCTATAAAAGATTACCCTCCACAAAATTTCTATCAGGCAAATGATGGGACTGTCTAGGTTAGACTTGGATTGCCAGACTAATGTTGATGTAATTCAGGTCTACGTCAGAAACTCTAAGCACAGGTTAAAAGTCTGCTCCTCTTCTTCTAAATCCAGTATGATTAGGATTGGAAAGAGAAGGCCGAGGCAAGCAGCAAATATGCTGTGCAAAACTTAGGACTTCATACTTGAAGTTCCAGTAGCGCTGATGTTATCTTCTTTACCGGTTGCCTCACGCCCAGTGTACCCACTACACCGGAATTACTACTGGCTAAACGAGGTTTAGGAGTGCTACCGGTGGCCAAGAACTTGACCTGTACCATGTACATGATTAAGGAGCATTTTTTTCACTGAACCACCGAGGCGATAGGCATTGCCTATTGTGATCTGGTCAGCACTGGATTATGATTAGGTCTTTGAGCAAATAATCTGGAGGCCTTCAGTGGGGGGGGGGGCATGATTTTTCTTTTTAACCTCAGTGGGTGCGTGCTGATTAAAAGCCCCAAACTAGGACGAAACACATGTTCAGTACTCCCTACTGATTTTCCAATGGTCCTATAACCGATATCAGTTCACGAAGAAATCCTGAAACCAGTCAAATCCCCTGTAAACCAACACTTGGGCATGTCATCTATTGGTTGTTATAAATTCAAATGAAGGCGTTTCATTCATGCAAAGTATTCTAGTAATAAATGATTAGCCTACAGCTTTCATCACCAACCAACATTAGGTGCTGATCCTCACTGTTAAAGTTGGTTGTCTAATCTAAGGACAAGTGGGCAAGATTTCAAGGCATTTCGGTACACTGTCGTGTCACATTCGATTGTTCGTGTACTCACTGTAATTAGCTAAGTAGACATCCCTGTCCTATATTTCTGATTCCGAAAGATATTTCGTAGGTTGGATAATCAGCTCATTGTTCATTTCGGCATTCTAACGGTTCTCTTGTCATATGGAACATGTACATTAGAGGTGGAAAATACACAGCCGCATGATAATACAATTATATCTTGCATACTCATCAACATCCTAAGTCTTTTAGAATTTCCTTTGAGCTTTAAAAATTCAGTAGAAGTTGTGCTACTTTTATGGGGTGAGGGTATAAGTTACTGGTAGTGAAACTGATTAACCACACTATACCAGCCTTACTAAACATAGTATGCATAATTACCCAATAAACCAGTAATCTGCCTGCCCTGTAAGTACTGAAACGCAAATAGAAAAAGACTCAGTTATTTAGTAATGTGCTGTAGTACACCTGAACCACAGACTCCAGGTCTGCGTTTGTTAACAGCACAAGGAAGCAGCGAAAAATGTAGTTACTGCCTATCAGGATGTGTCCCCGTTTAAACATCACTTAAAATACTAGAAGGTACACTACAGGGTAGCCAGTCTGCCTTTTCAATGACCAGCTATGCGAGATATTAAGCTGTCATGATGCATCTACCGAACTCTGAAATGAAGAGTAATGAGGAGTAGTTCTGTGCGAGTAAAGGACTTGAATATTGACCACAGTTACCAAATAAAAACAAGTGTTGATGTTCAGTAGATTGACGTAATCTGTAGGTAGCTTAGGATCCAGGTTTCGTCGTTATTAGCACTCATCGACAAGGGGAACTAATCTCTTCTTGGAAAATCAAAGCCGCATGATTCAATTATTTAGACAAAGACTTTACCACGAGGTCATTCGGTCTAAGTGGAAAACGTTACAACAGTACTCCAAAAATCAGCTCATTACGTAAACTGACTACATTAAATGTCTTATGGTGTGCTCTTAACCTTCCATAAAGGCACTAAAATGAAAATTTGTGTACACTTTAAGTGATTTAAGATGTTTGTGGTGATTGACTATTTCTATCTCTGTATTTTTTAAATACTTACTGTTGCTTGTCAATATATTTCTTATATGAATTGTATTATAATTCCGCTAAATACAAATTCCTGAATTCCGCCCTCTCTGTGTTTTGGTTGGATTCTTGTAATTCGGTCATCTCGAAATACTAATACTACGATTACAAATAATTACAACAAATTGGCGTCGCGATGGAACTAAATAACCTTGGAAAATTTCCTATAAATGGTTCACCGCGGGAGATTGCTGATTACCTTGAATGCTTCGATGCGTGGTGCATTTCAAAGAACGTTCGGGATGACAAAATTCCAGCACATTTCATCACTGCTATTGGGCTAGATGCATATAGCCTAGTGAAGAATCTGGCGTTTCCAGATAAACCTATTTCTCTGTCATATGTCAAGATTCGTGAACTTCTGATAAATCACTTTCATGTAACTACATTTGAGACCAGAGAGAGGGCTCAATTCAATAAACTGGTTCGTGCTCCCAACCAGAAGATTAGAGACTTTATTCTTCAACTCCAAATACAAGCTTCAAAGTGTAACTTTGGAGATCAGCTGCATACTCAACTACGTGATCGTCTAATTGCTGGAATCAATATTCCTAAGTTAGAGAAAGAGTTAATTCAGATTCCTTCTTGTACCTTTCAAACTGCTAAAGATTTATGTATTACATATGAAGATGTCAATAATGAATACTCTGCTCCCACTACGTCAGTATCTGATGTCATGTTGTCCAAAGTCGAAAATACAAGTGTTCATGGAAAGCAATCCAAACTGTCGTCCACAGGTAATAGAATGCAGCGAGAGATCAAAAACATTAAACCGTGTTTATCCTGTGGAAAGTTACATCTACGAAGCACTTGCCGTTTTCGGGGTGCTAAGTGTCACAAATGTGGTAAAGTTGGACACATCAAGACTGTTTGCAGAAGTTCGAATACTTATGTTACTCAGAATTCTTATAATTCTCCCAATCTGTCTAGTAAAATGGAGTCAATGTGTCTTTCAACTTTTCAAAATACTCAATCTCATCCAATGAAAACCTCCACTACAAGTTCAGCAACTCAAGCATCAACTGTTTTCAAAAATGAGGTAGCCGAGTTACAATGCGAACTGTCGAAAACACGGAAAAAAACTGAATGAGATGAGAGAGCAACTGATTAAAATGGAGGAATTGTTGCATAGACTGCGTCTGTTGAATGCAGAGCATACAAGTACCCGTGAAAGTCCTGCAAAACTTTTCAAATCTCGAATTCTCAAAAAGCATCTGATGTCCACGACTTCTAATGTACATTATTACAAAGGGAATGACTATAGACCTTCTGTTGGAATCATACTACAAAAAATGGGAAATCGAGTGGTGAAGATATTAGACATCAAAGATCACTCAGTTCATAACAGACACCTGGACAAAGTGACAATAAATGAAGTAGGTCGTTCCAATT